GGATGCCAAACTCCTTGGAGCACATAGCGCTTTCAGGATCTGTGAGCACAGCAAATGCTTTGAGAATAATTTAAATTTGAGATTTTGCTTGTAATGAAATTTAGTTTTATAGCATGAAAATCTTCCAAGAAACAGAATTCCTTCCTGCTTGCAAGTCTAACAATCTAACTGTGCCAGGCCTAAAATGGCTATTAATTTAAGAAAGACTCTAGAGAACATACTGGAATGCAAGAAGAAAAATATGTTAATCAATTGTTAAGTTAATTTTAGAAGTAGAAAAAGAGGCAGTCTTTAGAAAGTTTCTGCATACAAAGTGAGGACTACATTTTTATTTTTGCAGTGACTGTGTGGTCTGTTTTCTTTTTCAGTGCAAGAACAAACCTCTAGCAGCAGTTTCTACGCTGCTCTGTCTGGGATACACACTTGTAACCTGGCGGTTCACAGCGTTCTATTACTTATTCGTATCAGTAGCATAACGTGATATTTATCATTAATGCTTGTGCATCATGCCACTCAATTCTAGGTTAAAGTACAATTTTACCATTGTTTCAATGGATGTCAAAGCTGAAAAATCAGAGCACGTGAAACAGAAGTGTCACAATAGCATATTTATCTAGTTAAAAGAATATTGCTTTACTCACCCCTTGTGCAGTGTTATGCTATGAATCTTTTATTTATTCTTCCCTATAAAGTTTATGCTGTAAGAATCAACTTTCTGCTCATTTTTATTTAAATTCCAGATTCCGAGAAAGATTGGAAAGAATACGGCATTCCATTTTTATCTGTTTATTAACGTCACCCTCTGTCAGGATCTGATAAACAGAAAGTTAATAAATAAAACTGTCTAAAGTTTACTGATAAAATTCATTAAAATAATTCCTTCTATGACCTGAAACTTTTTTAATGATGTTCCCCCTCAAAACACAGAAAAAAAGTAGAGTTTGAGTGAACACTGAACCATAATTGTACATCCCCACATCTGTGACTTTCTGCTGTATTAATAACAGAGCAGTATTAGTTTTGAAATATCTGAACTGAATGGCTCATTAATTTTTCACCTTAAGCTTAATAGAAATTTGACAAACAGTTTTCTGCTAAGAACAGACACTTCAAGCAGGACTTCAAAGCACATTACGAGAATAAATTAGAGCATAAGAGACAGAATAAAGTGCATTTGGTCATTTAGGTTGGTTCTGTCATTCAGCTGCCTGAAGTGAACAGTTAGTTCAATGTGTTTCTGTGAAAGAGGTATCTGCACTGCCGTTTGTCAACACTTGATCTTGTATTAACCATGAGAAAAAAAAGACATATAAAGTGACACATCACAGACACTTAACATTATTTGCACTTTGAACTTGTATACAGCTTCCCTCCCAACTTTGCTGATACATTCAGCAGCTGTTAGGTCTGCACTGCTTGTCCTGAAGTTGGTCACAGTGATGTCTCTGTACTTCCCTGCAAAATCAGTTTATCCGGGGTTTTCCTGACTCACGTCTAACCACATGCCCAGACTGAAATGGTGCCTGCTGACTGGCGGCTCTAGGTACTAAAACTACGTCACTACTGCTAATCATAGCTCAGCAACTCAGCAGCTACTTTCTTACATCTTCAGCTGCTTACAATACTGTTCATGAGCAGTATTTTTAACATAGGCATGACACAACCTACTCAAATTTTACGAATCAATTAATACTGCTAGACAAGACTTGCACTGTCACATCAGCACATTATACACCAAGATCTGAGGCGTTGCTGCTGTTTTCGCAGCTCTTCCAATGAATAGTTCCACAAAGTAACACCCTTTCCTAAGACAAATCTTAATGACTTCCTATACAGTTTTCACTGGCACTATTAGTATGATTATAGCCATACCCATATGAAATTGCAGGATTTGGTTTGAGCAGATTCATAGCATACAGATACTGTCTAACCTCTGACAGAAAATGTACCCATCCGCTATACCTCACAAAGTCATTGATGTATTTTTTTTTCCTCTTAAATTCTCTCTTGGTACATGGGAAGAAAAAGAATGGTATGTGGCTCTTACTTCTTGCTGTAAACAGATACAGTGAAAATATTGATCTAGAAAAATTGGTGCTGTTGTCTAAGCACTTATGAACAGGGAATTCTGAGAAAGTCCCACATCTGCTCAGTGTTTGCATTCCAAAAGTCAGATATGTGCTTTTCCACAGATGAAGTCAAATGGAGGGCTCTTCAACTCTCTAAAGCAAAGAAAACAGTGCTGATCACCCCACAATGCTTAAAATGGAAGTCAGAATGGATTTAACTATGAGAAGCATGACAGAGCTTCAGACTTAAGAGACTATGTTGTTAGATGGAATCTAAAAGTACCAGCAAGGATAAGAAAAATAGCTGGTACAGAAACGCTTTTGTCAAGAGAAAAGTACAACCACAGCAGACGCCCATGGAGTAGAAGTGGTAACAACCAGTTTCCTGCTCTGTCTTTCTCCAGCTCTCTCAGAATTAACCACTAGTGTTACAGCATGGAACATATGTCAGTTCTGAAGTACTCTGCTTCACTAGTCACTGGTAGGAATCTGGGGGAAGAGAAGAACATTTCCTTCTGTTTCGCAAAAAAATTAACTTTGAGATTCTGCAATCAGGGATTTTAAGAGCAGCCCCAACCAAAGACTTTCAAAGCAGCTTTACAGGCAATGGACTGTGAGATGATGACCTGTTCTGTCAACCACAACTGCCTTATGGCAGCTCGTGTTTCAGGAGGCATCATTCACAAATGGACAAAGGATGCTTAGAACTATGTGAGGATCATCTAGAAGGAAAATAAGTTAGAGTACTCAGAAAGTAGCTGAAAAACATTTCCATTTTTTTCTTGACATTGGTGATGGCTAAGGTGACTTGAAAAATACTTGAAAAGAATAATTCCACATTCTTATGATGTCAAGAGTTAATAAAAAGAGTTTAGAAGCAGGACAAAGATAACCTACCACCTGAGATAAACTCTCAGGTGTTAACAAGACCACACATTGATACATACAAAAATACGTAACACTAGAGCGGTACTGTTTTCTTCACACTCACTGCACTCTGCTTACATCACATATTATCAATGGAATGGATGTGAATCTGGATATATATTACCCAGGACTGCTCTTTA